ACTTTCAAAGCTTTTCAGTATCTTCACTTTCCTATGACCACCCATAGATAACTTGCATTGCACCGTGAACAGCAAATCATATCAAGTGGCCACAATGAAACGTCTCAATTTGGTTTCACGAACAAAGCTCTGTGTAACAGTTCAAGTAAACAACTAGAAATATGGATAGCATGTGAAGGGTGTGAGAGCAGTAGAAGATGAAAAGCTACAGGAAATGTTGTATATTAGTTTAAAAAGGACGTTTTGTTAGTCTTTTTAGAAACCAGAAAAAATACATCGGTTTTATCTCAATATCCAATCATTTCAATCAATTAAGTATTTTACTGTGATTGTTTTAAATTAAAATGGTCCAAAAGAACAATACAAATAGTCCGGGTAGCCATTTGATTAGCTGTTCAGGAGTCTTATGGCTTGGGGGTAGAAGCTGTAAAGAAGCCTTTTGGACCTAGACTTGGCGCTCCGGTACCATTTGCCGTGCGGTAGCAGAGAGAACAGTCTATGGCTAGGGTGGCTGGAGTCTTTGACAATCTTTAGGGCCTTCCTCTGACACCGCCTGGTATAGAGGTCCTGGATGGCAGGAAGCTTGGCCCCAGTGATGTACTGGGCCGTACGCACTACCCTCTGCAGTGCCTTGCGGTCAGAGGCCGAGCAGTTGCCATACCAGGCAGTGATGCAACCAGTCAGGATGCTCTCGATGGTGCAGCTGTATAACTTTTTGAGGATCTGAGGAGCAGTAGCGGTGCTTAGGTAAAATCACTGGGGAAGCCAATGAATGAATCAATGGTTGGATCAGAATCGCCGTTATAATCATTGGCCAGTACGGAGAATTAAGTAAAACCACAAGTACAAATCCCTATCTCCATCTATGGCTAATTTAGGAAAGGGGCAATTTTAACTAGCTGGCTAGCTAGCCACCGGAGGACCGCAACACAACTATGCAACAACTCAAGTTTTTCTGTCAATGACATATGCTCTCAATGAGATTTAAATAGGAGTGATGCCAAATCCAAGCTGGCTTCCCTTTACACATTCTTTTGGTGCTCCAGGACAGTTCACAGTTGAGCTCGCTCAGTTTAGCTCAACGCTGATTGGCAAATGATTGGCAGATGCTCCCTGGCTTCCCTTGCCTTCAATGCTACGGGTGGCAACATGTCATACTCGTTTCGACCAGACAGCATCAGATAGATTGCCTACACGTTGTTCGCTCGCTCGGATGCTTTCTCCTGTGAGATACATTCAGCCTCTTGCGAATTGAAGGAACATTATGAAACACAGAGAGACAAAAATATACATTATTGTATGTTTTTTTATGTTTTTATTGGTACATTTTTTTGAGAAGCCTTGCTTCCCTTGGCATCCATGAACAAACACCACTGTCTGGGAGTGGTCTGAATGGGGAGGGGAAAACTGAAAACTAGCTGTTTCTTATTGGTCTATTAACTAATTTACAGGCCCAAACTCCATCCCACCAAAATAGGCTGACATTTATTTTTAAACACCTCTTACACTAAAAGAGCATTATCATCATTTTCACAATTTCACAGTATTATTCCAACCTCATAGTGTGGAATATACAGTTGAAGTCGGAAGTTTACATACACATAGGTTGGAGTCATTAAAACTAGTTTTTCAACCACTCCACAAAGTTCTTGTTAACAAACTATAGATTTGGCAAGTCGGTTAGGACATCTACTTTGTGCATGACACAAGTAATTTTTCCAACAATTGTTTACAGACAGATTATTTCACTTATAATTCACTGTATCACAATTACAGTGGGTCAGAAGTTTACATACACAAAGTTGACTGTGCCTTTAAACAGCTTGGAAAATTCCAGAAAATTATGTCATGGCTTTAGAAGCTTCTTATAGGCTAATATACATAATTTGAGTCAATTGGAGGTGTACCTGTGGATGTATTTCAAGGCCTACCTTCAAACTTAGTGCCTCTTTGCTTGACATCAATCAAAAGAAATCAGCCAAGACCTCCGAAAAATAATTGTAGACCTCCACAAGTCTGGTTCATCCTCGGGAGCAATTTCCAAACACCTAAAGGTACCACGTTCACCTGTACAAACAATAGTACGCAAGTATAAACACCATGGGACCACGCAGCCCTCATACCGCTCAGGAAGGAGACGCGTTCTGTCTCCTAGAGATGAACGTACTTTGGTGCAAAAAGTGCAAATCAATCCCAGAACAACAGCAAAGGACCTTGTGAAGATGCTGGAGGAAACAGGTACAAAAGTATCTATATCCACAGTAAAACGAGTTGTATATCAACATAACCTGAAAGGCCGCTCAGAAAGGAAGAAGCCACTGCTCCAAAACCGCCATAAAAAAGCCAGACTACAGTTTGCAACTGCACATGGGGACAAAGATCATACTTTTTGGAGAAATGTCCTCTGGTCTGATGAAACAAAAATAGAACTGTTTGGCCATAATGACCATCGTTATGTTTGGAGGAAAAAGGGGGTTGCTTGCAAGCCGAAGAACACCATCCCAACCGTGAAGCACTGGGGTGGCAGCATCATGCTGTGGGGGTGCTTTGCTGCAGGAGGGACTGGTGCACTTCACAAAATAGATGGCATCATGAGGAAGGAAAATTATGTGGATATATCGAAGCAACATCTCAAGACATCAGTCAGGAAGTTAAAGCTTGGTCGCAAATGAGTCTTCCAAATGGACAATGACCCCAAGCATACTTCCAAAGTTGTGGCAAAATGGCTTAAGGACAACAAAGTCAATGTATTGGAGTGGCTATCACAAAGCCCTGACCTCAATCCTATAGAACATTTGTGGGCAGAACTGAAAACGTGTGTGCGAGCAAGGAGGCCTACAAACCTGACTCAGTTACACCAGCTCTGTCAGGAGAAATGACCCAAAATTCACCCAACTTATTGTGGGAAGCTTGTGGAAGGCTACCTGAAACGTTTGACCCAAGTTAAACAATTTAAAGGCAATGCTACCAAATACTAATTGAGTGTATGTACACTTCTGACCCACTGTGATGAAAGAAATAAAAGCTTAAATAAATCTCTCTCTACTATTATTCGGACATTTCACATTCTTAAAATAAAGTGGCGATCCTAACTGACCTAGGACAGGGAATCTTTACTAGGATTAAATGTCAGGAATTGTGAAAAACTGAGTTTAAACGTATTTGGCTAAGGTGTACGTAAACTTCCGACTTCAACTGTATATAAAGCACAGGAAAATCACGTTTTTGACTGCACTGGAACTTTAACAACTAACATGACGTCTTTCCCATTATGGGGGGTATTTTCCTTGTAAACCAGTTTACAACAAGAAAATGATGTCACGCCAAATTTTGCCTGCTGGGAGAAGCAGCCACGCATGAAGCATGAAATTGATTAAGATACGCAACAAATAGTATCCTATGGCACATTGTTGTGCAAGAAATTTGAATGAGGAGACAAGTTCACAAAATGATTGATGAATATTTCCAGCAGAGCTACCGGCCATGTCTAAAAGTATTTTCTTATCATAAGATAGAAATTTAACATGGGAAGTTATATTTGCCAAAATGATTGAAAATAATGCAAAACCAAATGACAAGTACTGTAGACTACTACTTTGCCTTCCAAGATGTTGGTATTTTAGTAGAGTCTACAAGGTTGCTGTGGGGAAAGGATCTGTTTTCAATCAGATCAATGAATCCCTTAATGTTCCAGGAGCTAAGCTTGTGTTACATTTAATGGATGCCGACACAGGACAAATGTTCCCGGAAAGATGGGTTTCCAGCAGGCCAGTCTAAACGCATTAGTGGAGGTACAGCACTGTATTTGGATTGCAACACTCAACAGTACAGCAGGGCCATTACTTCCCACCTAACCCAACGTAGCAGGCGTAAAACGATGTCTGATCCCTGAAAACCGAAAACATCCGCTTTCTGCCGACCTTGCACTAGCTGTAGCAATACTGTATGTATTCTCTAAACAAAGGGAAATTGTTAGGATTGTCTAAAGCTGCATGTCATAATAAGTGTTTGCTGTGTCATACATTCATTTGTTTTGAGCAAGACAATTTCTTTGTATCATTTTCCTCTTTCATCTAAATGCAGCACTGGCTACTGCCAGTTAGGTGATATCAGTGCACAACTGCTTAACACTTCGTCAAACTTCCAAGTTTCGACCTATAGGGTAGAATATAGACCTAGGCTGGGACTTCAACTGTATTGCTATGCAAAGGAAAGAAACCCACCCATGAGTACTGTGGACCTACACATGCATTGCCATAGTTTGTTAAGTGTATACAATACCTTAGGGATATTCTCCACTCATCAAGCACACAGCCTTGCTCTCTGTTAGCATTAGGATGTATGGAGGGCTGATGGAAGTGAAGCACTATAAGAGAAGATGGAAAGTAAAGCAAGATGTTTGTCAAGCTCGAGGAAACATGCGGCACACTGGGATGAGACTCTGTCCTGATATGCTTCATTCAACAGTCTACAGTCTGAAATCTTAGTGCAGTGTTGCAATATAGCTGCTTTTGTCTACAGCTAACTTCCTAAGTGGCTGTGGGCACTAACAATCCTTCTGTGTACCCTCTTTTCTATTTTTGGAATAGGAGACCCTCACAAATATGAAGAGGATGTAAGCATTCCAACAAGGAATACATTGGTATACCTTGGTATTGAGTTGTGATTAAAAGTATACAGTAACAGAACACTGTACAATTTCAGAATGGGGTGTTGATGGAGCGTATCAACATGAGTCTCTGTTCTGTACAGGGCTAGCAGAAGACACCATAGGAACTAGTGGAGGCTTGATATTGGCATTAACAGTGTCTCAATTTGGGATTCAGGAAGAGTTAAATCAAATCCAGAGACAGCACAGTGCTGAAACAATACCTTATGGTAACACCAAACAGAACAGAGAACACGGGGTGCTTATAATTAATTTCAGTTAATGTATATACTGTGTATACTTTCCCTGTAATGCTTCTTTTATCATCTGTCCTGTGTTTATGGTGAAGCATTCAGAGTTGGAAGAACTCTTTCCTCCTCGCCAATGGGCTGACCCTCTCCATAGGCAGCGGTGGATGATCAACATAGCTATAGTTCACCACTCCTCCATCATCATCATCCTTATCCAGCTCCTCCAGACACTGGCTATCCCTATCCGAACCCCCATCTTCCTCCTCCTGCACGTTGTCACTGCGCACTTTGACCTTCTTCTTGTTGCTGTTTCTCACTGAGGCTTCCAGGGCCTTCTGCTTGCGGTAGAAGTGGGAGAACTTGTTGAAGATGATCGTGATGGGCAGGGACACCACCAGGGTCCCACCCAGGATGCAGCCGCTGGCCGCCAGCTTGCCGGCCACCGTGACGGGCACCACATCGCCGTAGCCCACGGTGGTCATGCTGACGGTGCCCCACCACCAGCAGGCAGGAATGGTATCCAGCCCCACGTCCTCCTCATACTCGGCCGTATAGGCAAAGCCCGAGAACACGCACACGCCCACGCCCAGGTACAGCAGCAGGATGCCCACCTCCCTGTAACTGTGCTACAGAGACACACAGTGGCAGATAAGCACAATATGTCAGAGTGGGTATGTGATAGAAATTCCTTTAAATTCAGAAATTTCTCTATTTGTGATCAGTTGCATGTTATGACTTTATTTTGTAGGACAATATAGGTGAGGAGTGGGTGATGAATGATTTGGGAATTGAATGCCCTGTATTACACTTCTCCATTGGGAATTTCCAAAGGGATCAGAGATAAAGGCAGTGCCTTCCAAGATTACCCCTGTTCAGTTTCTAGTATAAATGATGCAATTTGTGATACAAAAAACTGAACAGATGTAATTGATAGTGTGAGTGCTACATTTTAATCGCTAAATTCCACCATAGGATAAACTGTTTATAAAAGGTACGATGCGATTATGAATTTGACACTATTAAAACTGAATGACTCACAATTACAACCTCATGTTCTGTATGAAAATGTATGATAGATGTGATATGATTATTTGATATAATGGGGTACTGCGGTTATAGTGGCAGGGCTCACCCGTAGCGTTGCTCCCAAAGACCTGAGGCCTGTCGAATGTCTGGCCAGCTTCAGAACCCTGAATATCCTCATGAGGCGGAACACCTGCACCAGTTTGCCCAGGTTCCCCAGCTCTGATTCGCTGCCCAACGCCAGGTCAATAGGCAGCGTGATATAGATGGGCAACACTGACACAATGTCGATTATGTTGAGCGGGTGGCGGAAGAACTTTCTCCTGTTGGGCGCCAAAAGCATCCGCGTCACCACCTCAAAGGTGAACCAGCAGATGCAGAAGAACTCCAGCGCTTGCAGGGTCGGGTCCTCCACTTGTTTGCCATCCTCGTCAAAGTGCTGGTACTCCGGAAGGCTGTTAATGCACATGATGGCTATGGTGGTCAACACCACAGCTATGGAGAGGAAGCTGAAAAGCTTACTGGGAATGGAGTAGCCAGGGTTCTCCAGAGTCAGCCACAGGTACTTCCGGGCATTTCCACAGCGCATGTCCTGGAAGTGCTGGATGTCCTTGTTCAGGTCTGAGATCTCGTCCACGGAAGTGTCCACGCTGCTAACATCACTCTCCTCGTCCCAGCTCTTGTGGCGTCTCTCCAGTTTGCGGTCGTGGTAACGGTAGCTACAGCAGCTGTCCAGGAAGAACTCATTGATTCCCCAGTATTCAATCTCCTGGCAGAAGGAGAAGATACATAGTTCCTCCATGATGTGGAGTTTGCCGGTAAGGTAGAATTGCAGTACGTAAGGGAAGAGTCCCGGGTTGCGATCGAAGTAGAACTCCTTTTGTTGAACGTCGTAATCGTCGCAAACTTGCAATATGGCCTCTTCGGACTCGCAGGCCAGCAGGCGTCCCAAACGTGTGTCGGGGAAATTACTTAGAGTGCTGGAAAACAGGCTGCGCTTCAGGCCACCAACGTTGATGTGCACCAGGATATCCTCAGCTTCCTGGACCCAGGCTGGGAGACTCTCTTTCACCATGTTGCCCCCTCACTGAAAGATAAAAGGTAATTATGAAGATTCACCATAAATCAAACAAGGCTATTTACTGAACTATAAACAACATTGACATCTACCAATAAAATATGTTCACTAGAGTGGTGACTATGAAAGGAATGCAATTAGATTTCAACACCTACAGTGGGGAAAAAAGTATTTAGTCAGCCACCAATTGTGCAAGTTTTCCCACTTAAAAAGATGAGAGAGGCCTGTAATTTTCATCATAGGTACACGTCAACTATGACAGACAAATTGAGAAAAAAAAATGTATTTGCAAATTATGGTGGAAAATAAGTATTTGGTCACCTACAAACAAGCAAGATTTCTGGCTCTCACAGACCTGTCACTTCTTCTTTAAGAGGCTCCTCTGTCCTCCACTCGTTACCTGTATTAATGGCACCTGTTTGAACTTGGTATCAGTATAAAAGACACCTGTCCACAACCTCAAACAGTCACACTCCAAACAGTCACACTCCATCTGTGGCTCCACGCAAGATCTCACCCCGTGGGGTCAAAATTATCACAAGAACGGTGAGCAAAAATCCCAGAACCACACGGGGGGACCTAGTGAATGACCTGCAGAGAGCTGGGACCAAAGTAACAAAGCCTACCATCAGTAACACACTACGCCGCCAGGGACTCAAATCCTGCAGTGCCAGACGTGTCCCCCTGCTTAAGCCAGTACATGTCCAGGCCCGTCTGAAGTTTGCTAGAGTGCATTTGGATGATCCAGAAGAGGATTGGGAGAATGTAATATGGTCAGATGAAACCAAAATAGAACTTTTTGGTAAAAACTCAACTTGTCGTGTTTGGAGGACAAAGAATGTTGAGTTGCATCCAAAGAACACCATACCTACTGTGAAGCATAGGGGTGGAAACATCATGCTTTGGGGCTATTTTTCTGCAAAGGGACCAGGACGACTGATCCGTGTAAAGGAAAGAATGAATGGGGCCATGTATCGTGAGATTTTGAGTGAAAACCTCCTTCCATCAGCAAGGGCATTGAATATGAAACGTGGCTGGGTCTTTTAGCATGACAATGATCCCAAACACACCGCCCGGGCAACGAAGGAGTGGCTTCGTAAGAAGCATTTCAAGGTCCTGGAGTGGCCTAGCCAGTCTCCAGATCTCAACCCCATAGAAAATCTTTGGAGGGAGTTGAAAGTCCGTGTTGCCCAGCGACAGCCCCAAAACATCACTGCTCTAGAGTAGATCTGCATGGAGGAATGGGCCAAAACAGTGTGTGAAAACCTTGTGAAGACTTACAGAAAACGTTTGACCTGTGTCATTGCCAACAAAGGGTATATAACAAAGTATTGAGAAACTTTTGTTATTGACCAAATACTTATTTTCCACCATAATTTGCAAATAAATTCATAAAAAATCCTACAATGTGATTTTCTGGATTAGTTTTTTCATTTTGTCTGTCATAGTTGACGTGTACCTATGATGAAAATTACAGGCATCTCTCATCTTTTTAAGTGGGAGAACTTGCACAATTGGTGGCTGACTAAATACTTTTTTCCCCACTGTACATAACAAAGACATCACTAAAACATGAGGGTTGTGGCAGAACAATACGATAATGCCATTTCAATAACAAAATGATAATATTTTGCCCAAAGACCAACCTAGAAGAATCTGGTTAAAATCAAATCAAATTTTATTTGTCACATACACGTGTTTAGCAGATGTTATAGCGGGTGTAGTGAAATGCTTGTGCTTCTAGCTCAGACAGTGCAGTAATATCTAACAATTTCACAACATATACCTAATACACACAAAACTAGTAAGGAATGGAATTTAAGAAAATATACATATATGGACAAGCAATGACAGAGTAGCATGGACTAAGAAACAGTAGAATATAATAGAATAGAATGCAGTATATACATATGAGATGAGTAGTGCAAGATATGTAAACATTATTAAAGTGACTAGTGTTCCATTTCTTAAAGTGGCCAGTGATTTCAATAGGCAGCAGCAGCCTCCAATGTGCTAGTGATGGCTATTTAACAGTCTGATGGCCTTGAGATAGAAGTTGTTTTTCATTCTCTCGGTCCCAGCTTTGATGCACCTGTACTGACCTCGCCTTCTGGATGATAACGGGGTGAACAGGCAGTGGCTCAGGTGGTTGATGTCCTTGATGATCTTTTTGGCCTTCCTGTGACATCGGGTGCTGTGTGTGTCTTGGAGGGCGTGTAGTTTGCCCCTGATAATGCGTTCGGCAGACCGCACCACCCTCTGCATCCCACGGGGCACAAACTAGTTGAATCAATGTTGTTTCAATGTAATTTGTCAATGTATTGTGACGTGGAATCTACATAAAAAATACATTGGATTTGAAAAAAGTAATCAACTGTCGTTTTGTGGGTGAAATTTCAACTACAGGATTATGTCATCATGGTAATCAAATTTAAACATAGACAAACCTTCTACAAAATATGTTGAAGTTGTACCTTTAAAACAATGTCAGATCTTCAATGTTCTATCCACTATCAGAAAAAAAAACTAACAATAACACTGGGCAGCACCTCTTACATGAGAATTGATCTATTAACAGCTACCCTTTAATCACCCATCAAGGGTATTGTACAAGCCGAGCCCTGCTTAGCTATGATATTTGTCACTGTGCTATTGTGAGAATGATTGTTGAGAGATCACTTAAAAACGAAATAGATTCACTGTTGCTATTTAAGTAATTACAAAGGGTAGGTTTAACAGAGCAAATTAAATGTGACCATACTTTATCACTTTAAAACAATCCAATATTTCTTTTGAAGTACAATAAATAGTCTAAAGTTAAGTATATCTTACAAACTAATGTAACATTAAAATTAGTAACACATCCATGGACACATTTTGAGGTTACTGTAACTATAAATGTGTTCTTATAGAATGGTTTATTTCAAATTCGACATTACAAAGTACAGTATCAATGGGAGCCGATGATGAAATATTTGACACAATTCACATAAATACACTTTGCACAAGAAAATCATCAACACAATAAAAACTACAACTTTATAATACATATCTTCTTAACCGTCAGTTAAGTTCTAGATAGCAACTTTTTTTCTAAGATTATATGATGTGCACCGGCCTGGGCCTGTATCCTCTCAATCCTGTCCTGTTGTTTGCTGGTTAAACCAGAGTGCCACACTGGAGCTGCGTATTCTGTCATTGGCCGTATGTATCTGGTGTACAGCATCACCATGTCCTCCTGTGGGACGGAGCTATATTTCAGCTTCCTAAGTAGGAACAGGCATTGACTGGCCTTCTTGCAGATCGCATCCACCTGTACTGTCCAACGGAGGACTGCCTGGATGAGGATGCCTAGGATTTTTATGGCTTCAACTCTCAGGAGCTCTGAGTTATTGATGTGCAGTGGTGGTAGGTGTGAAGTAGTTTTCATTTCTGCGGGTGGAGAATCATGTGACTGCCTCTGGACCATGACTCCAGGTCAGACAGATCTTGTTGAATTGAAGAGGGTGCAGTTTGGGGTTGCACCCCTAGTAGGTTAAGGTTGTCCACAGATTTTGAGTGTTGTACTGCTGCGTTGCTTGCTGCAATGTTGATATATGCGATGAATATCAGGGGCCCGTGCAATGTTCCATGGGGGAGGCCACATGACACTCTCCGGCATGGAGCCATGGTACTTCACTACCTGGTGCCTATTAGATAGGAAGTCAGTGATCCACCAGACTAGTGATGTTCGATGCCCCATGTCTAGGAATCTGGTGATGGACACAAAGGCCTTGCTATAGTCAGTGTTTACCAGTGAACAGATGAAGCCAGGCTTGTCGGAGTGCTTGTACAGCTCGTTGGTAAGGTCCAAAAGGCAGCGGGTGGTGGAACGACCTTTGATGCAGCAAAATTGATGGTCATCGATTTGGGGAAGGATGTTTCCTACTGCCCACTGGGAGATGAAGCTCTCGGCTGCCTTGCATAGAAGGGAGGTAAGGGAGATGGGTCTGATTTCGCTAAGGCTGGGTGGATTCGTCTTGGGGAGGGGCACTACAGTAGCAGCTTTCCACTCCTTTGCGACCACACCTTGGTCGAGGGAAGTGTTTAGGATATCGGCCATGGGTCCACTTAGCTCGTAAGCAAACTCTTTAATGAGCCTGCCAGGTATGCCGTCTGGGACAGTTGCTTTTTTTCATACATACAGTGCCTTCAGAAAGTATTCATACCCCTTGACTTATTCCACATTTTGTTGTGTTACAGCCTGAATTCAAAATGGATTAAATATATGTATTTCTCACCAATCTACACACAATATAATGACAAAGTGAAAACATGTTTTTAGAAATGTTTGCAAATGTGTTGAAAATGAAATACAGCAATATCTAATTTACATAAGTATTCACACCCCTGAGTCAATACATGTTAGAATAATCTTTGGCAGCGATTACAGCTGTGAGTCTTTCTGGGTAAGTTTCTAAGAGCTTTGCACACCTGGATTGTACAATATTTGCCCATTATTCTTTTCAGAATTCTTCAAGCTCTGTCAAATTGGTTGTTGTTAACCATTGCTAGAAAACCATTGTCAATTCTTGCCATAGATTTTCAAGCAGATTTAAGTCAAAACTGTAACTCGGCCACATTCACTTTCTTCTTGGTTAGCAACTCCAGTGTAGATTTGGCCTTGTGTTTGAGGTTATTGTCTTGCTGAAAGGTGAATTTATCTCCCAGTGTGAGTAACTACAATGTTGTTGATCCATCGTCAGTTTTCTCCTATCATAGCCATTAAACTCTGTAATTGTTTTAAAGTCACCATTGACCTCATGGTGAAATCCCTGATCCGTTTCTATCCTCTCCGGCAACTGAGTTAGGAGGGACGCCGGTATCTTTATAGTGACTGGGTTTATTGATACACCATCCAAAGTGTAATTAATAACTTTACCATGGTCAAAGGGATATTCAATGTCTGCATTTTACACTTTCACCCATCTACCAATACAGTGCCTTCGGAAAGTATT